GAGGTCTTCTGCCACTGGAGACTGGGTACAGGGACAGGAACAGGCTCAGAAGTGGCGTCGGTGATCCGGGTTGACCCGCTTGGAAACAGGTACTGGAAGCGCGGCTCCAGTTGACAGCCTCCTCCTGGTCCTCCCTTTCCCTGGACCCCCAGGGCAGATAACTCACCGGGTTCCCTCAAAGGAGTCAAAATAAAAGCACAACAGGAAGCAATGGAAGCAATTCATGACACCTTTAGATTTTGTGTACTATTTATCTACCTTATATTTCACCTTGTATTGTGTGGCATTCATTGTGGACAGCAAAGTAAAAATTTCATTGTACAAGAAAACACGTTTCCTTACTGTGCACATGACAATAAACACTTTGAGTCTTGAGTCTTAACTGTGTGTCTCTTCTCTCCCGTAGTGTGTCCTCTCTCTCTCTCCCTGTACCTTTCTGCAGGTTACCCTGGCTCTGGCGCTGTATGACCAGCCACATCAACCTGCCCAGAGTTTGTTGTGTCTTGTTGCTTTTTCCTCTCCCCTATCCACTCACCCCAACCGGTCTGTCAGAAGTTTCTTCCATAACAGGTGTCTGAGGATTCAATTCAATTCAATACATTTTATTTGTATAGGGCCAAATTACAACAAATGTTTTCTCAGCAAACTTTACAAACTAAGGTCTAGACCTTACTATTATTATTATTATTGTTATAGAGGAAAAACTCAACAAATGTTGGAGCTTTCTCCTGTCAAAGGGAGTTTTTCCTCCTCGCTGTCGCCAAGTGCTGCTCAATGGGGATTTATCGGATTTTTCCTGTACAATAATAATAATAATAGTAAGATCTTTGTAAAGTGTCCCAAGACGACTTTTGTTGTGATTTGGCACTATACAAATAAAACTGAATTGAATTTATTTGAATTTGTGCTTATTTTGAACAGAATGATATTCTCTGTGGTTGCAAGAACACAACCAGCAGTGGTTAGCACTGTTGCCTCACAGCAAGAAGGTTCTGGGTTCAAGTCCTGGCCGACCCAAGTCCTTTCTGTGTGGAGTTTGCATGTTTTCCCTGTGCCTGTGTGGGTTCTCTCTGGGTTCTCCGGTTTCCTCCCACAGTCCAAAGACATGTAGCTTAGATTGACTGGCAACTCTAAATTGCCTGTAGGAGTGAGTGTGGTTGTTTGTCTACATGTCAGCCGTGTTATAGACTTTTTTTACACCTTTGAAACTTGATCTGAACACAGTCTAATGCATTTCCAAACATCCAAAATGTTGCACAACAGCGAGGTTAACCCCGACTGACTTTAGACACTTTCTTTTGTTCTTAAGGTTCTGTTGTAAATTCATATTTGGAATTATAAGGTCCATTAGATAAGATTTTACACACTGGTAGATAAACTTAAAGTGGGACAGGACATGATGTGTCTCAGCCATACTACACTACTCGATGATACTCTGCTGCCTACAGCCCTTCTTTTGTTGTTGTTTTTTTTTTTAAGTCCAATATAATCCAAAGTGTATAGATGGCATTATTTTGCACAAAGAAAGTGGGACAAAGTAAGAGCAGCAACCAGGGTTAACATTTGACCTTTTGAGAGGGAGCGTGTAAAAAGCAGCCAAGGCATTCAAATTTAATTCAGATGTGGTGTTCATCCTTCTGCATGTGTTAGCATGTAAAGCTAACATGTTTGTTTTGGTAACGTTAGCCACCTAGCCTGGTAATGAATTTACCCATGTGTTGAATTAATATGATTAATATGATTTTTGTCACCCACATTCATGACTGTCTCATGAACCTCGTCACTTGACATTGTGCTGCTGCAGTGCCACCATAGAGCCGAGACTTGTTTGTTGACTAACACTAGCTTCAGACCGGTGACTCTTTTTGTACAGTTTGTCCCAACCAGGCATTTATAATTTACATAGTTGTTAGAAAATGAGACTTCAGTTTGTTTTGAGTTTCACTAGACCCTCTAGTGACAGAAAAAAAAAAATTAATACACTTTTAAGAAAAATCAATTGTTTTCAATCACGTTAATGGACCTCTGGCATTTTGGAAAATGTTTGTTTGCTGTTTTATCCACAGCCAGAGCAGCTTTGTGCATTGTTGTGCACTACAGCATACATATTCCTCACAGGGCTAAATTCTGTACTCTTTATTGTGTTTTGCTTTTTTTGTATTTGTTTAAGCTATGTATGTTGCAAAAAAATAAAAACTTTAAAAAAATCCAATGAATCGCTCCACATTAGGTGTCTGTCAGAACCCGTCATCCACTGTCGGTATTAGAAAGAAGTAACTTTAAAGACACTGACATATTTTTAATGTATAACATTAAAATATTATGCTGTTTCTGGCAGTAGTGTTTCTGTCCCACAGTTAGGGCACTATGGACCTGCTAATGTTCACATGGGTGAAAGTTACAAATGCACAAATGATATGTGGGAAAACTGTACCACTGTCCTCCTTGGTGATAGCATAGATGTGTTTATGTATAACACAGATTGCTTTATACTGACTCCTCCCTGAAAGCAAGTAGTGAAAACAGCCCCATAAAAGAAGCTTATGTAAGTAAGAGCTCTTCACATTCTCCTTGGTTGGCTACATTCCCTGTGTGCCTCAAGTCTTCCATCATTGTGCCTATGCCCAAGAAATCAGCTGTCACCTGCCTCAATGATTACCGCCCTGTTGCTCTGACACCAGTAATCATGAAGTACTTTGAGAGGATCATTCTAAAGCACATCAAGGACGTCATCCCTGTTGGTCTGGACAGTCATAAGTTCAGAGAGATCAACAGAGGATGCTGTCTCAATAGCATTACACACAGCCCTGTCCCACCTGGAGCATCCTAACACTTATGTCAGGATGCTATTTGTTGACTTCAGTTCACCGTTTAATACTGTAATCCCGGACAAACTGGCACTGAAACTGCACAATCTGGGAATGTCCGCAATGATGTGTCATTGGATTAAGGACTTCCTCACTAACAGGCCTCAAGTGGTGAGAATCGGAAGCTGCACATCATCCACACTGGTCCTGAACACAGGCACACCACAGGGCTGTGTGCTCAGTCCAGTTCTCTTCACTCTGTTTACCGATGACTGTGATGCCATTCACTCCACAAACACAGTAGTAAAGTTCACGGACC